GCCTGTTACATGCATTGTCTTATTTCAAAATACACTTCTATTTTCACAGGAAATTTGCTGTTTACATACAGTCTCTATCAAAATAAACACACTACATCGGTACAACACCGTGAATTGACATTTTTTTCCTTCAACAGCAAACGCACATAGTTGGGTTTAGCAAAAAGAACAGGGTTTGGCTTTAGAATCTCACGGGACACGAACAACGCTCTCCTGGGTGAAAGTCCGTGTCGTTTCCCGCTGATGCCACCGGGCGCTGTTATAATGGCAACTGGTCCCATATCATGCTGATGTTAAAGGATGCCTTTTTTCATGGGTTTCTGATGCAGCAAGTCGCTGCCCAAGCACCAGATTTCAACGACTTTGGAGTGAAACTGTGCCCGATCTGGAGCCAGTGTTTAGTTTGTCCATTCTGGGCTACTGTAAAAACATGGCAGTGCAACATGGCAGACTCCATGGATGAAGACCCTCTATAGACCCTATGTAGATATAAATAGCTCATTCTAAGTTAATGAAAACACAATTGTTGTTATTTTCAGGTGATTATACACAAAAGAAAACATACTTATTATATTATATTCAATTATTGTCAATATATCCCCCTAAATCCTAGACACTGGATCTTTGAATAAATCAACATACAAACTGGAAAACTAATTCTATGATTTATGAATCAAATTTGTTTTGCAGGTAGTAATGCAGGTTAGCATACATGTAAATCCTTTAATTTACCAATGTTGTGATGCTTAATGTCCCTAATCAAGTTAGTATACGTTCTCATCAGAGCTCTTTCTCTTAAGGGAGTGTTTTGGGGCTATGGAGATCTGATAGTGAGTATATCTTACCACCACTCTGCGACCATTTTGTGTCCCTTCCACTGAGTATTTGTTTTGGTAAAAAAGAAGCTATAAATACTGCACATTAAAGCGCCCGACCCAAAATAGTTTTCAGAGGTATTACAAGCAAAAGGCCCCTTGTGGTTCCCCTGACTCAAGGTGTTGCTCGAATATCTCCCAGAGCTCTTCTTTAGTGTGGTGAAACTGCTGGTGGGGATGTAGCAACCTCAGGCAAAATGGGTTAAACAAGGACAATGCAATCAGACAGAAAGCATCCGCAAGCCTTGTTCGAGCATGTAGGCTAATCAATACCATAAATTAGGTCATGAAAATGGTAGTCATTGTTTAGAGGCCACAGCCCACAGCCTCTCTGTGTCTATGTAGATATACTGTATGTTGGTTTTAAGGTAATCTATGTGATGAATTATGAAAATGAACATGCCCAATTCAAGCAGAGGATATAGTTCATGATTTTCTGCTCCATAAACTAATCAATAATGGGTCACGCCATTGTGTTTAGTCACGCTCAGCCATGTCATCTGTATCTATTGTCTCCCTTCAAGGGCAGATGTAATCACCGTTGTCTCAGGTGGTAGAAATGAGATGTCATTCAGTTAGCCATAACTCAGTATTGGCCTGGCGGCCAGCGGTCTCATTGAGAATGGACCACTCCCAGCGCTCACAATTTACCACTCTGGCACATGTCCAGCATGGCCTCTCTAATAAAATAAAAAGCTAGCGCTGTTTCTCAAGGTCTTTAAAATGCAGACAGGAGGCTCGAACCTACCATCTGTCAGGATGAGGGTTATAATCTTTACTTATTTCAATTTTAAAGAGGAAAAAATTCACATTAAAATCCCAAAAAGTCCTCTTTATTATATGTCACAAGTTGTTTATTAGACATTACACACTTCAAATGTGCCTGTGCCAACGTTGTACTGTTTGTTGTTTCAATACTACATCAACCTTTCATGTAAAGAATGCTGCTGCTATTTATATATTTAATACAATTCAAGGGCAGGAGACCTTGACATTCCCATTTGCAGTTTCGAATCAATATCCTGTAATGAGGCAAAGACTTTTTTTTTTTATTGTTGACAAATATAGTTTACAGTTTCAGTCATGCTTGTTTGCACCGTTGGTTATTATGAGAATACATTATACAGATACAGTATATATCATACATTACAATTACAAGAGCGATAAAAATGCCTATCCTGTATAGGAGAGGTATGATGTTGAGGCTGGAAGGAAGGTGAATGCATGTGAATCATCTCAGTGCATAATAATCTTAAAACACAAGTAATACGTTTATATGAGAAAACACATATGGTAAGACAAGACAAGAAATTTGATTTTTTGAGGAGACCTAGATGAAAAAATCCATATCACTCACATAACATTTAGATTTTGTTGCCTGTATGAATAGAGACAACTCCAAAAACTTATTGTACAGTTAAAATGTATCTGAATAACCTATGTTACAACCTATGGACATATTTTTATATAGCCTACTTTAGATTAATTACAATGCATTCAATAGCCTATTTGGAATAATGCACCGCAAATAGACACATTTTAGCAATACCAATAAATAAATAAATAAATAAAATAAATAAATAAAAATGAACCAAAAAATAAAAAATCAAACATAAACATGAGTTTAGACAATAACTCATGATAAAAATGTTCCTAATGTAAGAGTTGACAATCTTGGCTAAATATGAAGCTACAGTCAGGAGATGCTTAGCGTAGCATAGCAAAAGAGATTGGGAACAGGTAGTCTGGCTTTGTGGGAAAAAAAAGAAAAGAAAACTTAACAACATTTCTTAAGGTCACTAATTAACATTTTACATATTGTTTATGTATTTTCACTTCATTTGTTTTTTAAACGAGTCAGTTTTTATGCTAGGCTATGCTAATATTAATTTTTGTACAGATTAAATAAAAAATAATGTAGGCTATCTACTAGCCAGGCAAGCTGCCCCTGCTCTCAGTCTTTATGCTAGGCTAAGCTAACCGGCTGCTGGCATTAGCTTCATTTTAGAGTGGTATCAGTCAACTTCTCTAACTCTTGACATGAAAGCCAACTGTTGAAATGAATTTCAGTTTCATTTTATGTATGGAATAAACAACAACGAAATGTAGCCTATCCTTAGCCAGGCTAATTTACCCCTGCTCTCAGTCTTTATGCTAGGCTAAGCTAACTGGTTGCAGGAATTAGTTTCATATAGTGTACAGACATATGAGTCACCTCATTTAACTATCAACAAGAAAGTGAATAAAGATGTTTTCCAACATATTGAGCCATTTAAGTGAACATGAGTTTGATGTTAATTTTTTTTTGTACAGATTAAACAAAAATTAAATATATCTACTGGCCAGATGAGCTGTTACCCCCTGCTCTCAGTCTTAGTCTGCTAGGCTAAGCTAACCAGCTGCTAGCAATACCTACATATTTATGAGTGGTATTAGTCAACTTTGCTAACTCTCAACAAGAAAGCACATAAAGATATTTTCCAACATGTTAATATGTTTAAGCCAACTTGAGTTAGATGTTGAAGAAGAGCAAGTTTCATGCTGGTAGTGGGATATAAAATATTTGGTTCATGCCAATGTAGGTGTGCATTTAAGAAGTAATGTTCAATTGTGTTATTGACAATATTCAGTGATTTAAAACAATCTTGTGCTTCAGAATATACAAACTCTAGCAACACAAAGACATCTGGAAGAAAAAGCAGTCATCATTTTACCAAAGCACCTCAACATTACAGCCTGTCAGATGTATAAACAGCACAAAATACCACAGACAGCAATAGATTATCAAGCTCTTTTCAGAAGCACCATTCTAGCACAGTGTATTCTTTGTGATGGGAACACTAAGTGATGCAGATACGAACATCTGTTGAACACAGGCTGAGTCATCTTAAGTGGAAAACTGCTGGTGAACATTCCTGTGCATTCAGGTGTGAGATGCGTTAAATCCAAGGATCAAATGAGAGTAGTTTAACCCTACATGATTACTTTTACATTCTATAATGAAGCATATCAATCCATGCTAGTATTTAAACATTTCTGAAACAAAATCAGGGGACGAAGTCACATTTTACTGTTGTTAAGTGTATGAGATTAACAGTGTGCTACCCAATCTGGTCCCATCCTAATTTGTGATGTCAGACTTCCTCTTTGCAGGTATCAAATGGACACACATTTCACCCCACCCTTACTGAATCAAAGATGCATTTTGTAAAATTGTGCAGAAAACAAAGTCAGACAAACAATGAATGCAAGAGAGTTGCAAAGTGTAAGGAGTTGCTTTTTAACCACTAATTTAACATTTTTACCTTTTCCAAGGAGGTTCTGTTTCCGGCAGGATTACAGGAAAACTACTGGCTGGATTTCCACAAAACTTAGTGGAAGGGAGTGGTATGGGCCCTGGAAGAACCCAATAAGTTTTGGAGCAGATCCAAACCATGGGGCAGATAAACAAATTATTTTTTACTTTCATTAACACTGCAAGATAGGGCATTTGGCCTTAGTAGAATACATCTTAAAAATCCTGCAGCTGGTAGTAAAGTTAAATAGTGACAAAACATAGCCAATTGTAATTCGATGACTCCATATCACAATCCACTTTCACTGGTGACAGTAATCTTCTGGGGTAGCCTTCACCATTGCCCAAACTTCATACAGAAAGCAGCTGCTATGGAGCACTCATTTAACATAATTCCAACTGGCTAGTTTTGGAAATATATCTAGACATATAATGTGGTTGCACTTGCAGATTTGCATACCAAGGACAAATAAACTGATACACATAAGGTCACAGACACCCATTTGATAAGACTTCGCTTCAGGGGCCTCCATCTGAAAAGACTGTGCTTGTTAGTTAGACTATTGTTTCCCAACAGGTGTATTCTCAACAGGTGGGTCCCAGGTCCATTCTAAATTGACTGCAAGTCACTCGCAAATGTGTCAAGTTTATAAAAAAAAAAAAAAACACACTTAATTTTGAAGTACACTGAATTTCCGGCACAGAGCTTTTACTTTGAATTCCCGCTCCCTGCTGTAGAGTGAGTGTCTAACGGACAGCTACATGACAAAGACGGCAAAGTAGCTCAATGACATGGTCAAACGCAAGTATGATGCCGAATACAATGAACTGTGTGGACCTTGAACAAATGACTAAGGAGAAATCTGGACCCCGTGGCCAGACCAGTTGGGAATCACTGAGTTAGAGTATAACTAAGAGCAGAATTCTATAGTTGTCCATTACAGTTGAGGAGATAACCATGGAGGAAGTGATACTTATGATCAGAATAGTAACTCTTATGCCTCTTACTCATATTGGGCTCACTTCTATAATGAATTAAATAGTGAGAATAAACTATTTCTCTTTATTCTTGGGACCCACTGGCGCTCCCTCAAGGACCTGTGAGGGTCCCTGGAACCCTGGTTATGAACCACTGCCATAGAAGACTGGATTATTGGCTTTGGCAGAGGTCTGCGCTCTCCAAGTGCCCTTCTAATGATATCCTTAATGTGTCTTACAATAGATAATTCAACAATATAGGCTGATGAAATGACCATCTGTTGTACTTATTACAGTTCTCGAGAACTTGGCATAGTCACTCACTCATCTAAATTGACCCAGAAACTAAAAGTAATTTGATTTTAACTGCTAGATGTATTATCGGAATCAGATTTCTACAAAATGTCAGCTTTAAAACTCTTCAGTTTCTTTTCGAAATGCTAAACAGATGTTGCAGTTGGTTTCTTGCTTTACCTTTTTGCATACAAAGGCTTGCACCTTTGACCGTTTTGTTAAAGAACAATTTATTTTAATTTTCATAAAGCAGTTAAAGACTTGTGTGGGAAAAGTTTTAATGCCCACCCAAGCCATGCCAATGCCCTTCAAATGCCAATTACCTGACACTGTCAGAAAACAGATGGAACATTTACTCCCGGAAATCTGGCCTTCCGAAATAACTCCCAACACTCTGCAACTCTATTACTCTTTAGGGGCATAGTTCACTCCCAATAATAATTATCTACAAATTACAAATTGACCATTGATACTTAATGTGCCACCACACGTCGATGTTGTCTTGGTGCCAGTTTGTTGGCCAGCAGACAAGCCAGGGCGATGCCTCCAATCTGGGTGAAGGCCAATCCCAACACAGTGGCAGCGATGTGGAAGACATTGTCGTTGACCAAACTGAAGACTTTGCGAAAGCAGCCGTGTGGATGGATCCCTGCAGCTTCAACTCCTTCAATATCATCAGACAGAAGAGGTCGATTCTTGCAGCCCTTGCGCCTCATGCAGCAGCTGTCCGGCAGGGACACCGAAGTGCCATTCTCGTTGGGCAGGAAGGTCATATGCTGGATAGCCCAGTCTGAAGTGAGCCAGTCACGCCAACCTTCAGCTCCACAACACTCCAGGGCCCTCTGCAGGCTGTCTAATGCATCTGCACGGCCTTCATCCTCGGTGTAGCCGGCCACCGCTCGCTGTAAGCCGCTGCGAAATCCTCCTGCAATGTCTTCACGGTAGAAGAGACCTGAGAGTCCAGCTGCCAAACCGGCTACAAGTGCAGCAAGTTGAAAAAACCCATACGCCCTGAGCACGCAGGGTAGGTTTGCAGCCACCCCTAGACAACCCAGGAAGCCCCAGGCAGTGATGGCTGCACCTGTGGCCAGAAGGATGAGCGGTGCATTGGGGTAGCGATTGGCAGACAGCAGCATGAAGTCTGCCAGGGAAATCTGCGCCCACACACCCAGGGTGAAGATGGCCAAACCTGCTGCCCAGAAGAGACAGCTGAAGGCCAGGAGACCCAGGCGCAGGAGGTGCATGACTCCCACTGGGCGGCAGCAGGGTGGGGCAGCGCCCACAGGTGGAGGTGCAGGGGGCGCCAGCGAGGCCTCTGAGCACACTGACAAGGACAGTCGCTGCTGCTGGTGTTGGAGCTGCTCTTCCTGTTCTTGATAGGTCGACAGAAGGTAGCCAGGGATCGCTGAGGGTCGACGAGGAAGAGGAGGTGGAGAGAGCAGGTCAAGACTGCGTGGAGAGGAAAGTCGTCGCACAGCCAGCTGCTGGCGTTCCCAGTCCAAAGCTTGTCTGCTGGGACTCGGCCGAGCTGACAGCGAGTCGTATGGCAGTGCAGAACTCATGATCCTGGCTCTGGCTTTATCTGCTCCCCTCTCCCTCTCTCTTCTTCACACTCCTCCCCTCTCTTCCTTCCTCTATCAGTGCTTTCACTCCCGTCCTCCTGCAACACAAGCCCCCCACTATTTTATGACCAGTATTAATCCGCCATCAACACCGCCAACGCCGACTGGACTGTAAATCACGCTTATGGGTGTCACGTCGTCCTGTTATCGGCATCCACAGCCCCCTTGTCTCCGCTGTATTTATTTGTTTATTTCGGACGTTCTTTCCACCTGCATGGTCACCAGCTCTTCAAATTCCTCTGCTGCTAGTCCCATCCAGACATCTGCCCGCTCGCTGCATGCTGCACCTCGCTCTGGTCGAGGCGAGAGGTGATTGCAGTAGGACCTGAAATCCACCCATGCACACCCTCTCTCGGTGTGGAGGAGACATCCCTTTGAGTTTTACTATTATCCATTTGTGGAATAAATGAACTGGGGAAAAACTGTACTACTGTCTCTACGGTGTGTGTGGTGTCTTTGTGAAAAGTAAAAACTTTACCCATATGTAACTTTTATGCTACAGTGACAAATGAAAATACAGGTTAGTAGCCCCACAGTCAAGGATGTGACTAAAGCCAGTATTTATAGCACTATAACCTGGATGTGAAAATAAATGATTTTTATGTGTGATGTCTATTTAAAAGTAAATTCTTTTTAAAAATACGGACCTATTTTATTACTGTATAAAGACATGCAAAACACAAATTATGCAATCTCAAATCTGCACACTAAATGCTCACTTTAGAACTGCGTTTATTAGAACAGTGACACAGTTTAGCATGCTGTGTTGGGAATTTTTTTTTTTTTTATGAAAAGAGCAAAGTCTTAACTGCAACTCTAAAGTGCAGGCAATTACAAACCAAGAAGCATTAAATAGAGTAGATGTAGAGTTTAGCTGGGGGGACATGGTGACATGCAAAATTTAGAGCATGTGCATTACACAAAATTAAAGATAATTACACCATAAATTGATGCAGAAAATACTTAAATTGGTGCAAAAAATTCACCAGAATGCAGGAAATTAAGTGTTTAATATTCAAAAATTTCAGACCCCAAATCCCCCATTTCATTGGTGCAAACCTATGCCCTTGTAATCAGTGAATTTAAATAAGTTTTTCATGAAATTATTATTAGTAATTTACCATTAAAACTGCAGACTTCATGTAGAAATTGAGAAATCCACCTTGGCTACCAGTATAACTACATTATTACCAAAAATAAAGACTAAAATACAGCTAAAGGGATTTATTAACATTAATAAAGCCATTAGTTATCAGTTATAAACCTTTTATGAAGTATGCTTTTGTATTAGGGAGTGGTACCACAATTACTATTTCTGTTGGTTAGTACGCCCGTGATGTGTGCTTTGTATGCAGCGTGGTTTTGGCCACATCCCCTTTCTGTGGTATTAGTCAAATAAAATATAAAATATAAAGAGCAACCATGACCCAAGAAACTGGCTTGAACTTACACAATTTTACCATTTTCTTTCAAAACCCCGCTTACCACATTATGGATTGTCTCTTGTTGTCATTAACAAATTAAAATACATTTAGAAACATATGCAATGCTAAAAATAGATATTCAAACCCTTCCTTCAGACTGCACTGTAGCAGCACTTTGTTGGTCCCCTGTTAAATGATGCAGCCAATTTAATCCTGGTGATTCCTCCTCGGCTTCCCTCCCATAAACCCTCCCCCCTGTCAGAACTAATTAAAGCCTCTCAGTTAATTAAACACATTTATATGGATTTTTTTTATAAGGACACAAGCATGAAATTGACATGATGACTGAGTGGGGAATACCGGTTCTGCACATCCTTCCCCTCTTCCTGAATGGGTATGCCTACATATACATATAGGCTATAGAAAATAGCTTATGGATTTAAAAAAAAAATCACAAAAATTAATTGTGACTGGCCACAATAGATTGCATAATGATTTTTACGTGTTTACCAGGTTACACATACAGATTAGAATACCTTGTTCCCCAGAATGTGAAGACGACAGCAGTGAGCAGGGTGAGGGGAGAGGAAATTTCACAACAGGCAGCCGGAGGTCTGCGAAGGAAATGAGGTTATGTTTATGATGTTTATAATTAATCTTTGCTCTATAACCACCAGCTCACCGGGTTTTATGTGCACTGTGGACAGAAACGAAGGAAATACATCACCTGACACATGCAGGATGAGATTTCAAGGCAGCTCCAAGAAAATACAGCCGAGGGGGGAGGAGAGGTGAGGGGGAAAACACTCCTCTCTTGTGATTGCTGCAGAATTGTCCTTTTGAAACAGACACAATAAAAGCAACATCTGGGAAACACCTTAAAGCAGAGCGCCCCAACCTTTCTGACTTATGACCCTTAAAACAAAGCTTTGTCTGCTTACAAACCTGTGTTTTACAGGTCAAATGTGTCATAATGGCAGTTCCACCAAAGATTATTATTCCTTCTTAAATTGTCATAATTTTCACAGGCCTTAAATGATAAAAACAAGACTGACTATGAGTACAGCTTCACAGAGTTGGAAGCATGTGCTTAAGTCTCGAAATGCACAGTGGTGCTTTGAGCTAAATGCTACGTCAAGCATGCTAACATGCTAATGTTAAGCTAAGCAGGTATAAGCAGGTATACCATGTGCCCTATCTTAGATTGGTGTTAGCATACTAACATTTGTTAATTAGCAATTACCAAAAATACAGCGGAGGCTGATGTTTGGCTGGTATTTGGCTGAAAGCGCTCTGTGTTGAGCTTTTTTCTGTATTGAAAACATGACAAAATAAACTAACTTTTCTGCATTCTGGAGGTGTGCGATCCCCCATTTTTTTTATTCATTTAAGGACTCTTTTTGGACAACGCACCCAGAGATTTAAGCGCAGTGGTCTTTCCCAAAAATGGCTGGTATTTTTAAAAACTTTTTACCTGATGATGGTGCTGGAGGCAAAGTTAGAGGAATAATCAAAGTTATTACAGTTCATCCGGAGGAAGCATGAAAAATGAAAATGTTTTTCTGTTTCTACATCCTTGTTAATCATCTCCTGATTTCTGCTTGTGACCCTTTTGTGGGGCGTGACCCTCGGTAGAGAACCACTGCCCTAAAGCAGGGGTAGGCAACCTGTGGCTTAACATAAAATTATATATATAC